GATGGTAAATCCAGAGAGGTTCAGATTTGCAGAATGCAGGATGCGATGTTTTCATGTGATACCAAATGTGTCTTTATGAGTGTGCAGCCCAAGGCAGTACTTTTTAAAACTATCACCCTTATCATCCAATCGTTACTGCAGGCCTGCCAACAGCCATGCAGGGCCTGCAAAGTTATAAGCGTGGAAGTCATTACAAAGGTCACTTCAGCAGGACTGCATGTTTGCTGAACAGAAATAAATATACAAATAGACAGCTGGGATTCAGTTCTATGTAAAATGTCCTTTTGAGGCAGTCAACTTTAGCTCCAACTGAAAAAAATGCATAAATACATAAATAAATAAAGTCTCCTAAATGTCTTGGAAATTATTCTGACATTTGATTAATTGTCACTGTAGACCAACTTTAAATGCAGTTTACATTTTTTTTAAACTAATTTCTTTAGTATTGCAATGCTTTACACTATATGTGGTTTTCTGGGATACAACTTAATATTGATGCTATCAAAATTTAATTTCCCCATTAACTTTTAGAGCCCTCACTTTGCAGCCTATTATTGCCACTGTTATAAACAGATGAGGAGAGAAAGAGACTGGTAAAAGCTTGTGTTTTCAGTATAGCAGGCTGATTAAAACCCTGCAGAGAAAGCTCAGTCTGATCGTCTGTTGTTTAATACACAGCTCTTATAAGGGAGAGCGTTGACCATTTTTTATAGGTTAATACAGCTTGGCACGCATATACAAATACATGCAAACACACAGCTGTACACAGACGCAACCAGAAACACTGGCGTAAGCGTGCACAGTTGTGCAAATCAAATGAGGCAATTTCCCAAAAACAAAATAGCATGCTGCGTTTCTGTGCTTTAGCTCAGGGGTAAATTAGCACACTACCTGCAGTTATGCTCTCCGCTTTGTTTGTGACCACACCAAGGAGCTAGTGCTGAAAATGACCGTTTCATGTGAAATTTTATCCACATTTTTTTTTTCATTGTTTTCATTTTCATAAAGATGTTTGACAACACTGAAACCATAGAGAAAGACAGCAGCTCAAGAGCTTCTTTCCCAGTTCAGTGAGAAAATACTGTATTAATGTACTTTAAAGGTCCTATCTGACAACCAACATTCAGTAGACTTTAAAATCCTTTCACAGTGTTTATTTGGTGGTTGTTTGTTTCAGAAGTTTCCTTGTCCACAGCTTTCAAGCATCAAATAAGGAGGTCTGATTTGTAGACCTTTATTTTTAATTTGCCAGGTATGGATATTCGGGGTTGATTCAATCAAAGAGCAAACTTTAAACAAAACCTCGATCTTTTTGCCAGTGTAGGTAAGTAGCCCTGGTACTAACACACTAGTGAAAGTAAACACATTCAGTAAATAAGCACACAAATTTTAAACACGATCACAGACTTTAGAGGGAAAACCAGCACACCGCAGACCACGGCCTCTCTGTGTGAGGATCTAAACGTATTCTACGC